CAAGTGTCGTTTAACAACACTTGTGTCGTTCTGTTGATTTCTACCATTTTTCGATTCCTTTCCTCCGCGTCGACCTCAAAGATTGGACCTCCTAATTTAAGAAAGTCAGAATTATTGATTACGTATCGGATAATTAATTCATGTCATTATCAGATATTGAATCAAATAGGTTACCAGTTCAGAAATCATGTCATTTACTTAGCCCATAAAATAAAAGACATAAGTAACATTATACAACTGCAGTCCATTTAATTATTAGTCATGTTATAATGTACAAGATTTGGTCAAAATATTACATCTTTAATTTTCGCAGTATAATTAGCGCACATTTATTTGCTTTAATTAACAATCATAAGAACCAGAAATTAATAAAATAATGAGGGTATCTCTCAAATTATGTGATCGACATGTCTACCTAGCGACTCAAATGAGTTCAACTTATCGAATACAAGGGCCTGGAAGGCTCGTGACTGCTCAAACTCGTGTTTATTGACAGAACGACACAAGTGTCGTTTAACAACACTTGTGTCATTCTGTTGATTTCTCCCATTTTTTGCTTTATTTCCTACATAGTAATGGTTCCAACACGAACAAGAAAAGATGACTAAATGGATAAATCAAGCCAACTAGTTCTTAAAATCATACTACTAATTTCACGTTGGCTACAGATTCTAATATTTCAAAATTGTCCAAAGTTCAGGGCAGGCTCACAATGCTGAGAATCATTCTTGGCATTTTTTTCCGATAGGTAAATCATTCTTGGTATTTGAAGGCAACTCGCCATCGGCTGCCCTAATCCATGTTCATGTTACAAAGATGGACAAGGATATGCAGAGGTCGAGAATTCAAAATTCCTTTGAAGAAACATAGAAGGTTGATAAAGGCTGTTGTTGATTTATCCCATTTTTCGCTTCATTTCCTCCGCGTCGACCTCAAAGATCGGACATTCTATTGAAAAATATTTATTTTATGCTTATATTGAAAAAATAAAAATCTGAATTTTTTTTTGAAATTTGACAATAGTTATTATTTTCATAAATAAAAGAAACTATACAAGAAAGCTAAATAATGCAAGACAAGTAAACTCATAACTGCGTACCTATTTTTGACTCTGATGCCGAAGATAGGAAAACCATTGCGTCAGGATCTTGGAATTTATAACTAACCACTTCATATGATTTTCCTGTCACCACAAAGCAAAGCTAAATCAGTGAAGTAGCTAAATTTTATTGCATAGCCAATATGCCAGCGGTTCAGTCAATTACCAGAAGAACCTTCAAAACTGCCCAAATGTCCATCATGGTGAAGCTTCAATGACACTTCTTGCCCGTCAAAATCAGGGGCCTGCATTACATAACAGGACAATGTAATTAAGCTGGGACTCTTGAAAATCAAGAATAATGAAGTCACTTAAACAACAAAAACTTCTGTTCAGCATACTTGTTTCATGATGCAAGATGAGTTTTTCATGGAAACAATGTCAAATACATACAAAAATCAGTTTTCCCACCATTATAAAATTGAAAAGGATTGCGTAGAGGAAAATCTCTTAACATGTTTGGTTTCGGAAGACGGATAAAACTGATGGCCATTTTAAAGAGAAATTGGGGGTAAAATGATGTTGTGAATAGTAATTGACCGAAGAATGTGTGGTTAAAAAGTAGAGAAAAGTTTTGGGTTTGCGTGAAAAATATTTTATTGTGTGAATGTGTGGTTTAAAATTAGTATGTGCAATAAAGAGTTCTAAATAAAAAATGTCAAACAGGGGCTGAACATAGAAGACCATGAAGCAAAAAAATTAAGAATTTGGACATTAGTTTTTGATATTCAACTATATTTTAAAGTTTGGGGGTTCAACTACTACTTCAGTTGGACATAAAACAGTAGCCAATAGACACCGATTATTTTTTTTTTTTTATCCATTTTCGTTTTTCTAGATAATCACAATTCTCTCACCAGAGACACATAATTTTCCATTCTAAAGCAAGTTAAATGAGGAAGAAAAAATACCATTTGATACGAGTAGATAATGAACAAGATGTAAGTAAAAGGATTTTACTTGATTAATGGGCCACTGAATGAGCCAAATCTCCGTAGAGTCGGTTAAATTGAGCTCGATGAGTGGATCCTTTCTATCCTCCTCAAACTCAGTCGATGGTTTGTAACCTGCTTCACTGGCAACATCCATAGTCTACTAAAAATCAGCCACCAAGCGCATGCAGCCACCTGGGTATATGCGCAATTGCCCCCACCGAATTTGGGTCCTGTAAATTTCACCTATTACACTTCAGTGGCGGATAAATCCATAAACAACTGCATCAAGAATTCAAGAAAAATCTTGTCCGAAAAGTCACTGTTGCCAGGGGAAGATTACCATCAAACAACAATTTCGGAAAAATAAATAAATTATAAGGAGTTGAGTTGAAATTAAATCATTCGCAACAATAAGATTTCAGCATATAAAAGCCACTTTTTACACTAATAAAATCCGATGCTACCTTCCAATTTTGTTGATGAAGAATATGAGTAGAAATCACTGCAACACAAGATAAATTGGCACTAAGGGGTGATGACTATGTCTCCCTTTTTGCCTCTCACCCAGTTTTTAGCGTAACACCGAAGAAGAAAACCTTTGCCGCTTGCCCCCTCAAGCTCTATGAATAAGACTTGAACAGGCAAATCAGCGTCATGGCTAGGAAGAAAACCTTAGCCGCTTGTTCCTTTTGCTTGGGGTTTACAAGATTTTTTCCCATTCTACTTCATTTTCGGGCCTCAATCTAGTAAGCAATAAATTAAATGGCAACTTACAACAATACCCTTAAATTGAGTGTTTTGAAAAATCATATAAAAAATTTATTGAAAGTAAAAAATATCGTGTAAAATTAAAATTTTGTCATTTTTTTCACAATTCAAATTTTTTTTTGACAAAATTCAAAAAAAGTGATACAAATTAAAAAAATGTGACAAATACCAAAATAGCACAATCCATTTGTAAAGTACCAATAATCATGTTCTTAATATATTTAGCATGTTCGAGACAATCCTCGTGAGCGTAATGCTAAATTTTAATATAATCATCATGTCTAGGATAATCTATATGCTGATTTTGTTACGAAAATATCACATATCATGCTACTTTTTTAAGAAGATGAAAAATTGACAAATCTAGCTCCTTATAAAAAGGGCAAAGAGGCAATACTGTAGATACAACAGTAAAGTAATCCAATTTTACTGTGCGTGATGTTATTTTTTATTTTTACATTTTGTGAAGAATTTTATTTATGATGATTGACAAATATTCTTTCACACACGCATCATGCCATCAGCATTAAAAAATAATAATAATAATTTTAGCATATATAAACTGCATGAGACAAAAAAAACTCCGCACAATGCAGAGAGATGGCAAACCAGTGCGAAGAGAAAAACAAAACTCTCTGCACAGGTTTGCCATCTCTCTGCACAATGTGGAGAGTACGGAGAGATTAACTTTCTCCGCACTGTGCGAAGAGATTTTCTTTCTTTTTTTTTATTTAAATCATGCAACCTAAATGTTAGTTTTTTATTTTATTAATTAAAAATCTGCATAAATCTAATAAAAAAAATATAATTACAAGAATAAGTTTAACTTTAATATAATACAAAAAAAAAAAAACTCTCAAAACAATATCATTGCTAAACAACAAATGAATCTAACAAAAACATCTAAACATAAGACAAAAAAAAAAAAAAATGTAAAACTTGTGAAGAAGAAAAAGAAAGAATGATGCCAAAAAAAATTTAACATTATTGTTCAATTGTGACATGCATTATTGATATATTAAAAACTTTTGCAGTTGTCTTTTTTCCAAAAATACTCACGTGCATTTCATCTAATTCTTCACTAAATTGGTAGGTTAAAAGTATTGTTTGTGTTAAATTTTTTTAAAAAATAATCATAATAAATCTTCTTGTTACACTAATAAAATTACAATAATTTTTTTTTACAAATAGCATAAAAAAATCAATTTTATTTTCGTAATTTCATAACCACCTATTTTTTTCTATTCCCGGGAATACAACTATATAAAAAGAAAACAATATTGAATTACAATATTTAGTACTTAAGAAATTCAATATTAAATAAATTTTATACATTTATAAAAAATTATAAATCGACGTATATGTAAAATACTACATATGCAGCTTACCGTCTATGCAGCTACCCGTATTTGCAGCTTACCATATTTGTAGGTAATATATCGTATTTGCAACTTATCGTATATGCTGCATATCATATTTGCACCTTATTGTGTTTGTAGCTTACCGTATATACTACCTATCGTATTTGCAGTTTACCGTATTTTCATATACCGATTTTGATACTTATAAATACCGTATATTCACTTACCAAACCGAATGTCAAAAAAAAATTCAAATTTTAATTTTTTCAACATAAACAGAAAATAAATATAAAATACATGAAGCACAAAATATAAACGCATATGAATATGTAAGTGGATTTATAACTTTGTGTTCAATCTTCAATTATCCAATGTTGAATTAAAGAAAAAATTAGAAATATAATATTCACATTCAACTCAATCATATCAACACTATCAAAGAATACAGGCAAAATAATTTGTATAACCTTGTATTTTTTTTATTCAAGCATGAAATGTACATATTTTTTCTAGACGACACAATACTGTTATGTAATTGTAAAAGCAATTTGCAATTATTTTCTTATATCATGGAAATATTTCTAAATATTGCTTCAAAACATTCCAAAAGCCAAAAATTCATAAGCTAATAAAAATACGGTAGTTACAAAAATTCGTGCAACGCACAACATTTGCAAATTTTTATTTTTTTTCTTTTTGCGATTGCAATTTTTTTTTCCTTTCTTCCCCCCCCCCCCCTCCCCGCTTTCCCTATTTTTGTTTTCTTTTTACAAAAGTTTGAATCTAAATTATTGAAACAAGGGTTTTTGATAAGTAAATATAAAATTTTGCTATGAACTGAATGTATGTTGGTTTGATTTTATTGTGTGGTTCTAAGTCGATTTTTTTAGAGGGTATTATCATTTCGTTTCTAACACTAGCTTCTTTTAAAAATGGGAAGGAGTAGCCACTGTTCAAGGAATAGTAAAGTAATCACATTCCAATGTTGAAGCCTTTTTTTTTCTTCTTTAGCTCACGTCACGTTGGTTTTTACCTGCAACCATACTCCTTATTTTCGGCGACCATACTTTTGAGGCAACCATACTCCTTATTTTCACGTATGAAGTAAGGCAATAAGTTTTTTTGTTTTCCTTCTCACAGCTATCCCCCCTCTCTATTCTCGTCTTTTTCTAATCTTCAGGCGAAGGATGAGGTTTTTTTTTTGTTTTTTGTTTTTAAAGGGATGATGTTCCATCGATTCTCGAAAAAAAAATTTGATGCTTCCAATTTTCCTTTTATGTAACATGAAATGAGTTTTACATGGTTAGTAGTGTTTTCTTCGTAATCTTTTTGTGGAATTGATTCAAGTTTTGTTCCAAATTGTGTTGAAAATGCATATTTTAGTTTGTTGTAAAGTTGAATGAATCTATTTCTTTGTTTTGCAGAGAGGTAGTTTTTGGTTTTCGTCAGTTTCTTCTTTAATGAACTTTTTTTAGATATGTGTAGTGTTTGCAATTTTCTCTCGATTGTCCTTGTTAGCTTTCATCTTCCTATCATCATCTCTCTGTGGAAAGTTGATTTTTTCTGCTAAAATAATTATCAGTTGTGTGTGAATGTGTTTCTTGTTTAGGCTTTATAATTAATTATTTTCTTAGAAAGTATTGCCTTAGTGTGATCTTAGTTTAGTTGGGTAAATTAATATTAATTTGGTGAATTCATTTTTGTTGGAATACGGAGCATTTAGTCTTGCTAAATTTATGGGTGGTTCACATTTATTGTTTCATAACTGTGATATAATTTTTTTTTTTCATTAGTACTTTCATCTGCAACCATTTTATTGCTAGCTTAGGAAAAAAAAAAAACTCTCCACGCTCTGCGGAGAGTTTTTTCCAGCTCTCTGCACTGTGAGGAGAGTTGTGTGTGGAGTCTCCCCATGCGCAGAGTCTCCGCACAACTTTTGCAAATTTTTATTTTTTTTTCTTTTTTGCAATAGCAGTTTCTTTTTTTCCCTTACCTTTTTTTCCTCGCTTTCCCTCTTTTTGTTTTCTTTTTACAGAAGTTTAAATCTAAATTATTGAAACAAGAATTTTTGGTAAGTAAATATAGAATCTTGCTATGAATTGAATGTATGTTGATTTGATTTTATTGTGTGGTTCTAGGTCGATTTTTTTTAGAGGGTACTATCATTTCGTTTTAATCGTTCTGAAAGCTTAAGGATTTTATTTTGTTTTACGAGACAAGACAAGAATTATGACAAAAGATGAAATAGCTCTAATGGATCACTTGGATTGGATAAAAGCCCACGTCTTCAACCATTCAAGTTGTGAGTTCTGATTTTGAATTTTTATTGATGTTTGACTTTTTTATTTTCATTTCTGTTGTTAAAAGGTAAATAACATAGATTTTTCTTGATTATACTACTGTTTTAGCTTGTTGATGTTATCTCGAAGGTTAGTCAAAAACCGTAGTAGCCTCGAACCACCACCACTACCATAAGCAGAATCAACACCACCACCACAACACTCCCACTTCTCCCTGCTGAAAATCACATTAGCATGAAAATCATCCATCACTCTAAAGATCTTCGAAGAGTTTGAAAGATTTTGGTCATTGAAATCGTAGTGAAAGCGTCAGTTATAGTGATGAAATTGAAGAAATGAGATTTGAGCATACTATCTTGGCCATTAATGGGGAGAAATGAGGTCAAGAGCAGGCAAAATTTGATTACGGTGTGGTGGCTATTAATTCTTTACAGCAAAAATTAGATGACAGATATATGGGTGGTTTGGGGATTTTATAACGTATTTAATACGTTCTCAACTGATTTAATTAGTTATTAGGGTATTAATCAATTTAGTTAATTTTTTAGTGTATTGGGCTTAATTTCCTCTAAATTAAATACATAAATAAAAAAGGAATTTAGGCTCCCCACTCTAAAAAGTGAATAAATAAGTTAATACACTTAGAACCTGTCTGAGTCACATTGTTTGAAAAAAATATATTCTTAAATTGTAATTTGATATCGTTTCAATCACACATTTGCAATAAAATAATATTAAACATAAATTTAAAATTTTTCCTTATTTTTTGACTACATATTCTCCATCAATCTATTATTCTAAAATATATATTTTTTTAGAAATAACGTGGCTCAACCACACTTAAACAAATTAAAACCTCTAATGACTGTAGAATTAATCTAGTTCTACAAGCTTTGTTTACAAATTAAGTGTTGGTAAAGTTTAGGCCATTGATTTCAAAAATTGTTTTTGAAATGATTGGCCTAATTGTTGTTAATACATACTTTGTAAACCAAATTTGTTAACCTACTTTATACAAATAGCATGATTCATAATCATAATAATTAATTGTTTTTGAAATGATTGGCCTAATTGTTGTTAATACATACTTTGTAAACCAAATTTGTTAACCTACTTTATGATTCATAATCATAATAATTACACCCTAAAATATCCCAAAACCCTCAAAACCAATTGATTACAGACAGAAATTCTAAATCTCGTTGTGTACTAGACAAAATCATTTTTGCAATAATCATTTTTCCATTTCTTTCTTATTTTTGAAAGTTAATGTGCTCACGTCATTACAC